ACATGAGTTTTCAAACTATTAACAATTTTAAACGGTGCAACATATCCATCATTCACTAACATCCACATGCGGTAATCAATAGATTGTAAAAAAGTAGTCATCCTAATTTTCCAGAAATTAAATGGAATGATATCAAAAAGAGGTGGACGGGTTATTGAATTACCCTTCGCAGTATTACGATTACCAAAATGCGACATGATCGTTCTTTTCAAGGTTTTCTAAAACACTATTTTTGAAAACAGGCTCTAATATCAATTGAAATCACTAGATGGACAAGAGTGGGGTGAATTGTGAAAAATTTTTTACAATAATTAAAACCTAAGCATGAGTTCTATTTATTTTTTTTTTTGATGCTTTTAAAATTTTAACATGAAAAAATTTAAACAACTTTTCTTTCACAAATAGTATGAAATAAAATGCACGCAATAATAAAAAGATGATAAAGAAAAAGCACTTCAAAATTTTTATAGTGGTTCGGTCAAACCATGACCTATGTCCACTCCCCGGAGTCCTCCTTTCCGGGTATTTCACTACAAGCAATAGCTCTCCTTTTGCCTCCCTTGGCAAGGCGGAGAAGCCCTTACAATACTCCTTTTTACCAACCCGGCATGGCGGAGTGCCAAACTTTATTTTCACCCTCCTGGCGACGGTAGAGAATCTTCTCGTTTTTCTCCCTCCTGGAGAAGGCAGAGTACCTCGAGGTCACGGATGTAGAAGAGCCTTTCCCTTGGAGATTCTCCCACAAATTCTTCTAGGGCCACATGAGGAACAAGATGCAGCAAGTTTGGAGCAACCGTGTGATCTCCCTCACACCTCTTCTCCCTCACAATGCTCACCTTCTCCTCCCTCTTTCAAACCCTAAAAAACTTCTCAAGAGCTCTCTCCCTTGAAATTCCTCTCTAACCACGTTCTCCTCTCTCTGATTCACACCTTCAAAACATTACAATTTTGATACCTAAAAACGGGCTCCAAAATCCCTGAAATCTCAAAGTAGCCATTACTATCGTATAGTATGGTTTCTAATCGTACAGTATGATATGTATAAATAGACTTCATCCTAGTACGAAGTGGTATGAACAGTTCAAAAACATTCATACAGTACGATTTAAAATCATACGAAACGATCCACAACAATACTGTTCGTACAGGACGATGGCCGGGACGATCAAATGTCATCTCTGTTCATCGTATGGTACGATTGACATTGTATGGTACTATTGACATCGTACAGTACGATGAGATAAAAACCAAGAGATCGTCTAGGACGATCCCTGGGATGATTATAATTCATCTCTATTCATCGTATTGTACGAATCAGTTCGTACAGTACGATGTTCAAATTATAATTAAGCCTGGATTTTTCGTACTAATCACGGGTTAAATTAAGTAAGTATTTAAAATAAATCGTACAGTACAAGCGTGTTCGTATAGTACGAACGGCGTAAAATAACTTACTTAAGTTAAAACGACGGCTAGGGCTTTGGATTTGAACATATCGTACAATATGATTTACATTTATACGGTACGATCTATTCACAGAATCGTCCTACAAAGCTCTGATCGTACAGCACAAAATAACATCGTACAATACGATCTACAGAGAAAGAAAAACTCTAAATTTTTCATTTAAAAACACTCTCCCCCTGTGTGTGTGTGCATGGTTGCTCAGACTTTTATGTATTTTGTGGCCAGACTCAAGAAAGTAAAAATAAAATAAATACCAAAATACATTGTCATACTCATACTCATAATCTACCCATTATTAAGTCTTCCTGTCGTCCTGAGTAGCTTGTGATCTTTCTGAAATGTTAGTACTCACAGACAATAGCAAATAAAATAATATTCAATGAATAGATAATTCAAACGACATTATTTGTCATCATCAAAATCTCAAACTCGGGGTCATGGGTTGCAACACCTAGGTGGGACTTCCCACTCCCTCCTTGTCACAACCTGACCCAACACAACCCACTTATAAATTAGGTTTTATCATGTTGGATTGTTGTAGGACTAACTCAAAAGATTTATTTAGAGGTAAATTCATTTTTTTCCTTTAGTTTATAGGGACTAAATAGCTAGTAAATAACTTCAAATGAATACAAAAGTACATACATCTCAAAAGTTAATACAATAAAAATAATCATTTACAAACAATATATGTCACAAAAAGAGCTCTAAAAAATTGAAAGCCATGATTGCCAAAAATTTAAACCATGCACTGCCTGTAGTTCAATAGCTAAGGCTAGGGTCGGTATCCAACTTCCTCCTTTCCTTCCTAGGTTATCTAAACTCAAAAATTAGAATCTGTAATTTCTATCTACTCAATCTGTCCCTTCCATTTACCTTCACCTGAAACAGTTATAGAATAACAAGTATGAGCAAATGATGGCTTAGTAGGCAATACTAAACCTATCTAGATTGTTATAATAATATATGAACAAAAGTAGTAAAACTGATTATCCCTATAGAAATTTATGTAGATTACTTATATTAACATAGTTATTTATAGTGTCTCATATATATATATATATATAAGTATAATAAAAATAGAAAATTTAAGCGCACAATATCATGATACTCAGAACAGATCACACATTCATTACCCCCATACCCTTATACCACCCAATATCTATAGAATTCATAATTCAATCCCTTATGATTCCTAATGTTAGCATATATGATAACAAGCCCTTATAACTATTGTACCTACATAATTTATATTTAGTTGTACCTTGTTGACCTCATTTTAGTATGAGGTCACTAGAATCTAATCCAGATCATATGATTAAATCCATATTTTTAAACCCAGAATCCAAGGTTAAAGACTCTATCCTGAAAGCCTTTTCTAAGGATTTTCTAAACACTTCAAAATCTAATTAAGTGACCTCTGATTCAGAGTCTATCAATTGCATATAAATAAGATATTAATATACAGGAAACTTTACAAATTTTAGCTCATTATGAGATCTCTAACCTTAGAAATTGAATTGAAAATCAAAGGCTGTAAAACCATTAAATATTTATAGCCTATGCCATTGGACCTGCCACCTGGCGGATCTTGACCTTGGATCCTTCTCTAAACCTCTAATCACACATGGACCCTTGATCATGATTTTCTAAGCCTTAAACTACACTTTGATGGACCCATTTTGACCCCCAGTTGACCAGGTGTCAAAATGACCAAAGTATCCTTTAAGGGTGTATTGGGTTATTTTGACCCAAATGATCTTTGCAGACCTTATGATCACCTTCAACAAACTTTAAATAAAATTTCAAACCCATTGAATCCAAACCTAGCCCTTGGGTTAACCTGGTTTACCCAAATATATCTTAAGGCTTTAAATATATTATTTTAACCCATTTAAGCAAACCAACCTATTTCAAACCTCAAATTTAACTCATAACCATAATTTAGGTGTGTCCTAATCTTTGGTCAACTAAACTCAAATGAAGTTGACCAAGTTAACTTAACAAACTTGGTTAAAACCCTCACTTAGGTGCTCTTGCTTTAACCCATAAGCATCAAACCTTTTCTAACACATGCCGCTAAATTTAAACCAACTCTTTAAGCCACTTGGCTGCCACCTCAATACCCAAGGACACATTGACTGGTCAAATAATCAATGGATGGTCAAAAAATCCTCTAAAGTGGCCAAATTACTCCCTGGAGCTAATCCACTCTAATTAAAACCTTTCTAGCAGCTTTAGTGGACCCTATAACCTTCCTGGAACTCCCCCAAGCCTTTGGAATGAAATCAAATGGTCCTAAGCATCTCCATATAGTTATATGAGGATAAGGACGCCTTTCCACCTAGATTGTCCTTATGTCCTTTGATTCCACCTGCTCCTAACAACCCCTAGATAGGTGTCTTGATCTTAGCAACCTACCAAATGCATCTCAGCCATTTAAATCACCTGGAGAGATTTGAATAGGGTAAATGGTTCAAAATAAGCCTCATTTTAACCCTAACTCTCTCTCCAGTCTCCAACCCCTCCACCTGAGCTCTCTTTCATTTTCTCCTCCACATATTCCTATTCCAACCCAATCGATCAAAGTCATCGGTGACACTCTTCCGGCGAGTTCAGCTCAAGTCCGTCCAATCCTCATAGAGCTCGATCCGTCGCCCTTCTGGTCGCAAAGTCTACAGGGGAAATAAGCATGGACCGACGAAAAAATTAGATCTATCTTAATCAGGTTAAATTGTCCCTTAATTAAGGTAAAAAGCTTAACCCTAGTTTAGGCCACTTAGGCTAAATAGCTTTCGATTCAATGCATCTTAGGCTATATAATTAATACCCCATATTTACTATTCATTATTTTAATTTGAGTTTAAAAATTCACTTGAAATAATTGAGTGTATCGAGTGACAAGTCAAAAAACTCATTATAGGGCTCAACTTATGTAATCCTCCAACTACATAAGATCTAGACCATAGATCAATCAACGGTCCGGATATAGCCTTTTCACGCTTCGTCCAATCGTGGATCTGATCTAACAGTCAGTTATTCCATTCGGTGACATATCAGCCCTTGATCTGGACCGTGGCATCAAAATCCAGACATCTGATCTCTCTCCGTGAGATCAGATTGCGGGATCTGATCTGAGCTGTTGGTTTCATAAGGTAGAAGATCAGATGGCTCGCCATGCAGTCTGATGTGGTTTAAGTGATACCGCATCCCGGTATAATTTTCCCAATCATCAATGGCAGTGCAATAATTATGCCGCCATCTAATGATTGGCCGCTGTCGGATCCCTCCAATCCGATCATGCCACGTGTCTCCCATCGCCGCCGCGCTGCCAGAATCATTTTATTGATTTACAATTTATATTTAAATCATTTTAAACCCAATTTCATCTAAAAATTATTAAAAATTAAAAAAACGCAAAAATTTATATTTTATATTAAAATATCTAAAAAATTAAACATTTTAATTTAAATTTAAATTTATTTTAAAATATTAAATATTTTTTAAATAATTTTAAAACTCTTAATTTGGGACATCGCCCTTGCCATTGGAGAGAATTTTGAGAAGTATGTACCATATGTCATGCCAATGCTTCAGGGGGCTGCAGAGCTCTGCGCTAATTTGGATGACAACGATGAAGAAATGCTTGAATATGGAAATCAATTGAGACGAGGCATCTTCGAAGCATATTCTGGTATTCTCCAAGGATTCAAAACTTCAAAGGCAGAGCTGATGATGCCTTTTGCTAATCATCTTCTGCAGTTCACAGAAGCTGTATTCATAGAGTCAAACAGGTAGCTGTTTCTGATACTCTTTCCATTTTTTTCATTGTATCCTAATGAGAAATCTAAGTTAGGATACGTATTGAGAATGCTCAAGTGGATGAGTGGCTTTATCCTTAGAGATAAGATACAAAATGAGCATATACGTGAAAAGGTTGGAGTAGCTCCAGTAGAAGATAAGATTAGAGAGAGTCGCCTTAGATGGTTTGGTCACATAAAACAGCAGCCTTCCGATGACCCGGTTAGGAAAGTAGAGGCAGTATATTTAACTTATGTTAACAAAGGTAGAGGCAGACCTAAAAAGACTTGATTAGAAATTATTAGAAATGATATTTCTTTATTAGATTTAAATGAGACTTTGACTTTTAATTGGGTACAATGGAGAAAAAGGATTCATATAGCCGACCCCACGTAGTGGGATAAAAGCTTGTTGTTGTTGTATATTAACCCTTTACCTTTTGTTTATCCAATTTAGGGATGATGCGGTAACAAAGGCTGCAGTTGCGGTGATCGGCGATCTCGCCGATACGCTTGGTCCCAGCATCAAAATCTTGCTTAAAAATGCTAATTTCCACGTTAATTTCTTGGGAGAGTGTTTCAGTTCCGAGGATGATCAGTTGAAGGAGACTGCCTTGTGGACACAGGGAATGATTGGACGGGTACTGGCTTCTTAAATATTCCATTCTTGCAGTCTGTATCTTTTGCTATTTTTATGATTTTCCCTTGCTAGGTAAGTTGAGGGTCCCAATGTCTATTAGTATATATTAAATCGTGTAGAAAATGACGATCGTGTCTGTGCAGGTGCGACTTGCACCTGTCATTTCCTTTGCTGGAGTGCACTTGGTCAATGGCATCAGTAAGCACTCCTATGGTTCCTGGCTATTATTTTCTTTTCTTTTTTTTGGCTGTTCTCTTTTAGGAATTTAATGGAGATTATGGTTATTTTGAACTCCGACAAGGTATTCTTCCACAGATTTGTGGTTGCGAGTTTTCCTCTGTTAAAATTCTTAGCTTTGCATTCAACACAGTGCAGTTGCAATCTATTTTCAACTAGTTTTAAGTATGAAAGATTCAATTTTGCAGTATTTGTTGAGAAATTATTCTGTGTAGATGTCGAACGCAGCTCTACATCCGGAGACCAATCAGAATGAGCCACGTCAGTAATACCGAGCGTGGTACGGATCGGTGCCCAGCCGTGGTACCGATGTTGCTCATTCCAGTTGGTCTTCGGATAGCGTTCGGCGTCCGCACAGAATAATTTATCGTATTTTTCTCTTTGAATACTAAAAAACAATTCTATAAACCTGCGTGAAATCCTTTTAGCTGATGCATTCTTATTTAAGGAAGGGCGGTGGTCCAAGACCTTCGTTGATGATACATTTGATGGGAAGAAGTAATACCTTGTGAGGGGCAAATTATTTTGCGCGTAGTCCGGACTTCATTCAAAGGTAATAAAAATGCGTTGTCACCCAAAAAGTGTACCGTGCTCAATATTGAAAGCAGTACCGTGCCCGATACCAAGCTATATCGGACGGGAGAATCATCTAGTGTCTGCCCATAATAATATCTCGAGAGGGCATTTCTTAGCACAGTGAATGGAAAGTCAAAGGAAAAGTGTAAGTGAGACTCAATTGTTTAGATTGCACAGAAAACCTGCCTCATTGGCTCGACTTCCCCTTGGGTTTAAGGTGTCCCTTATTTTCAAAGAATACATGTCATCAAGATATTGATTATCTAAGAGTCACGCCTTAAATCAAATGAATTTGGTCTAATGAAGATAAGTTAAGGTTTCGTTTGGGATAGTTTTAAGTATTTTTTTTTAAAGAAATTTTTACACTAAAAAATAGCTTTACAAATAAATAAGAAAATCATTTGAAGCATATCCTATGTTAAAAGTATATGGCATTTCAAGTAAAAACTAGAGAGAAACCCTCCCTATATTTCATACAAATATGTGATCACTTATAAAAATATTCAGCATATATATATATATATAATGCTTTGCACAAATGCTTGCTACGCTTAAGACCCCATTTAAGTTAAAAGAGCATGGCCAAGTGTGGTTATTATTGTGCATTTTAATTTTCAAATATTAAATGCTTGAGATTATATATAACTTCTAAATTAATTGTGCATTTAATTTAGGATAACCTTGTAGGATCAAGTCTAGAATTTTATTTTTTAAATGTAATTTGATATAATCTGAATTGTAATATTTGAAGTGCATTGAGAATGAGATCAGATATCCAATTTAAAATCTAAAGAGAAAGGGACATCCCTTAGGGGAGAGTCCCTCTCTATTTGTAGATCCAAATTAGGATGATTTTAAAATATCTGAAGTGAAAAGATAACACCCCTTCCAAGAGGGAGTTTCTTTTCATTTAGATATCCAAAACTAACGAATCAAGAATTTGCATAAGGACTAATAAGGGGATAGAGATAAGACTCATTCTCAAAGTCACTTGAGTCTTAAGATTATAAATCCGGGCTTTTTGTCAGTGGCACCCGGCCACTTTACTTTTTGTAATTCTAGGATATAATATTAAATGGCACTTGCCACATGGACATTCAATTTGAGTAATTAATTTAATTAATTTGTTTAATTGATTGTATATTAGAAATTGTATATTTTTTAGTCTTTTTATTTATATGTCGTATTTTCTTTAGCCTAGAATGATAGGAGGCTCGTGAGGGCACGATAATTTTTTTTTTACTTAAATCAATTAAAAAGTTTAGCTCAGATAGAAACTCTAATGGTCCTAAAAAGTAAGCTCAGACTTATCGGGTTTCCATACATCATATTATACATTCTCTGCCTTATTAGGCACCTCCCCACCTGCGAGTTTTGGTAGACCTCCTGGCCTATGAGGGTGCAGATCTGTCAAGGGGATGTTGTGCAATCTCTAAGAAAAAACCTATTTTTTAAGCCAAATTTTTAAACTGCTTATTTTAATTCATGCATTCAATCGAGTCAACTAGCATGCATCACATTAGTAACAAATGTAAAAGAGTCTAAATCTTTCATTACATTTACTTAGACATCAAATACCCAATATATATTAAGGGGATAATTAGGATCCGCTCTAGATGTCAGTCCAACTCCTCAAATTTAATCTAATTAATATCTTTACCACTCTTACATAAAAGAACGAACTCATGATTTTGAAGTGTTTAGGTGGTTTAGCTGGCTTCCCAATCCAGGCCGGGGTAAGTCCATATCTACATTTCATTAGCTAGGTTTAGGTCACTGATTTTCAGAACCCACTTTAGAGTTAGGTTCTGAGGCAAGTTTACACTATAAGTTCTCAATCTCTAGGAATTGAATCCCAACCTTCTAATAAAATTTATCATTCAAACTAATAATCTCTTTCAATCATATTCAAGCTCAACACTTAGGATAGGCTGGGGTGTTTCAGAATCCTAAATCACTTCCAACCCTTTCGCCTTTGACTCCAGAAATAAGTGTTCAACCATGAACCAATTTCACTAAAAATTTCTAACATTTATCTACTTTGACATCAATCTTTGAAATCTTAAATAAAATATTTACCATTATTTTAATCGAGAGTATTCATAGAAAACTTGGATTTACTACAATGTAATTAACTACAAAGACTTGCGTTTGTAGGAGATTTAGAAATCCAGATCTAAGTTTTCAAAGCTTTTAATGAATTCTCTTTGGAAAAATTAAATCTTATGATCATTATCATCATTTTTAAATAATCAATAGTGTTTAATAACTTCTTTCTATGGAGAGATATATCAATTACTATCTTGACTTTGATTATGAAAATAATGATCTTATATCCAAATTATTATATTCAAATATTTGATTGAACATCATTTTGATCTTTCAAGATCATATGCTGTCTCTCTTTAGTTTGATTATGATAATTAGAATAAATACAAAATTTTGAAATTTGAACCTATTAGGGAACGATATTATCAACTTTTAAAGTGATATACCGTTCATAATAAGATGTTCGATTTCAAATTTTTAAAAATTAAAAAAATTGAATCTTTCCCAAAGAAAATTAAACTTTTTCAAAACTACACTTTTGAATCAAACAAAGAAAATGGTGACTCCACTCGGGATAAGTCTCACTCTTCATCTTTAATAGCGGTACAAATTTTATTGCATCAATTTTTTTGGCTACCTTTCCTTCTGGTCCCTCTATCCATTTCTTCCTTTGGTTAGTGTGGCCAACTCAATTAATACATGTCAAAAGAGAGGTGATCATAGGAAACCTATATCAAATCGGGCTTTAACATTTTGCCTCCAACTTGATTGGTAGCGCAAAAGAGTCAAGCCAAAATCCTCCTGTATATGTTGCAAACTTGCATGCAAATAAATATCAAGGTTCACTATTTACAAAAAAATCTCACAATTTCAAAATCACAGTTTCAAGCCTTTAATAAAATTCAATTTTCTTCAAAGCTTAATCAATCCCTATATTCTATCATTATATTTGAAATTATAAGTCTTATAATTTGGCATGTGTGATAGAATATGAACTTCTTGTTCAAATTTGATTCTAGAGTTCGAATCTTTCTAGCAAAGTTGATCTTCGACATTTCACTCATAAATTATTTGTAGGGTTGAAAGAGTCAAGTCGACTTCTTAGAATCCCCCCCTACAATTTTTTGTTAACCTTTATATTGAACACGAGTTCAACATATTGAGTTTAAAAAATAAGCGGAGGTTCTGTCAGATTTTTGAACTTTCAAAACTTACCCAAAATCTTTCAAATCAACTTTAATCGTTAGTGACATGTGTCTTCTATAACATACTGTTGTAGTTTTCTTTTTTTTTTTTTTTTTGAAGAAATTCAAAAGTTGCATTAAAACGAAAGAGTAAACAACCTAATATAAACTAGGAAGTAAAAACTAATAGATCCTTGATCAATAGAAAAGGATCCTTATTGAAATCATATTTTTTTAAATTAAACTTATTATTTTTGAAATGAAAACCGCTATTTCCTATTTTAAAACTGTTGAGATGTAGGGGATACCAAATTTTAAACAACCCAAGGGTTGGTTAGTATCCCAGAGTTCCCATCCTGTTAAAAAATAGGATCTAGTAATGATCCCATAATCAAATCTTTTAAGTTTAAAAAATAAATAGAAAGGAAAAACCAAAAGGAATCTACAAAAGAGAAATAAAAGACAATTACAAAAAATCCAGGACAATAACATCAATAGGTATTTCGGATGTCTTTTCCAACTTCTAATGATGTAGTCCAAAGCAAGAGATTTGGTAAAATCTTTTGTCATAAGCTCCAACCTCTGGTATCTTTCCACTTTGAAGTTTGTAATGTAATTTTCGGCTAACATATTACTGAGATGATTGGGAAGAACCTCTCAAGTAGTTCTTCTTTCTGAGATCAGACATACCTCTTCTAATTTGCTCTTTCATCGGTCCAAGAGATTATAGTTCTTTAAATAATTTATGTTTATGCCAGGAAGAATCAAGCTCCATATTAGAACCCTTTTTATCTTTCAATAAAATAGTTTTTTTGAATTTCAAATTAATAGTTGAAGTAGGAGTAATGGTTTTCAAATAACCATCTTTTTCAAAAGAAATTGTTGCTTTTGTTGGAGTGAAGACCGAGATCATCTCCTCAAATTTATCTGACTTAATCATTCCGTCTGTTGAGCCAATTGCTGAGATAGGTTCATCTATCTGTTTGGATAACAAGTTAGTTACCGAATTATCCTCCTTCTCTACCTCCAGGATTTGTGGTAATTCAAAAGTTGAATTTTGAATTTCCAAAAAATCAGCATTATTTTGTTGAATCCCGGGAACAACTGCAATATCTTCTAGATTATTCAGCAAAATCTATGTTAATTTCAGCAAATAAAGTTTGTGATTGACTGAATTCAAAATTTAATTTATGAGCAACATCCAGCTCAATAATCAAATTTGAATTACTGTTAACAGCAACTTCATCTCCTTCCTTGATTTCAGCATTTCCTACACTATGA